GCCCCCCAGAAAAACCTCAAGACCGCCTCCCGGATCGCCTTTGAGAGGAGTGAGTGTGCCCGCCAGGGCCCGCGGAGCGCGTGGGGAGTTCCTCTCCAACCAGCCGATCGTGTGTGCCCCGGCCAGGGCTAGCCTGGTAGGCAGGGAGGGGCCCTGGGAGCGCCAAGGGGATCTGAAAGAGGAAGTGGCCCGAGGGGGACAGGGGAAGAGGGTCAGGGGAGGGCGGTAACACGAAGAGAAACAGCACGGAGCAGAATGTGTGGTTCCCTGCCCAGTGCCCCTGGGGAAGTGGGCACCACGTCCCAGCCGGTCGTGGGGAGACAGCAGGCGGGGAGTCGGGGCCCGAGCGGAAGCCAGAACCTCAGCCGGGCATGCTGCCACGGAGGGGATGCTGGCTTAGCTCTGGGACCACCCCCACCCCGCGCCTTCTCTCCCCAGAGCTGCGGATAAAGACCAGCTTCGTCGCGCCCCTGGAGAAGTCCTACGGGACCAGGCCCAGGGTCCTGACCGGCAACCCCCGCACGGACCTGCAGGAGATGAACAGCTGGGTGCAGGCCCAGACCAAGGGGAAGGTGGCGAGGTCCACCAGGGACCTGCCCAGCGAAATCAGCATCTTCCTCCTGGGGGTGGCTTACTTCAAGGGTGAGGCCTTCTCCACTTCTCTTTAGGGCGAGGGTGGATGGTGGGGGCCAGGCAGGGCCAGGAAAGGGTGGGAGGAGTCAAAGGCCAAGTTCAACAACCACACCCGCGAAGCCAGAGGGCCTGAGAAACGCCCCTGGCTGCGCGTTAGCTGGTGTGGACAGATCCCGGGCCTACGAAGCGTGGAAGGCCGTGAGGAGACAGCGGAGGAGAGGACACAGGGCCACGCTTGCCCCCGTGCGGCGTGGGCACTGCTCGGTTCCTGGCCGGAGTCAGATGAGCGTCAGGGCCCGGCTCTGACTTCGCGGCTGCAGAGCCTCGCACACCCTCCATCGCCTCTCTGGGCCTGTTCTCTCATCTCTCACATGGGGACGATGCACGTACTTCATTCAAAGGCACGCTAGGTCCCCTCCTACCCTCCCATCAGCCCCAGCGCTGTGCCCGGGAGCAGGGACCCAGTAAGCCGCTGCTGGCTCTCTAACGGCATTCTTCTGGGCTGTGGTGGTATGCCCAAACGTCCCCTGCCCCTGTGAGGCCAGCCCCATGCAGATACGCCTCAGGTGGGGTTCCGGGCAACCTCCCCTTAAAATGCTTTATTTAAAAAAAAAATGCTTTATAACCACCTATCAAGCAGTAGCAAGAACGGACCCCTAAACTCCCAGAGAAACGCTCAGCCTGCAGCCCTGGTCCCCAGGAAGTGAAAGCGGCAGTTCCAGACCAGCCTGGTAAAAGGCGACATTGAACTAAGGGAGCTGATCGTCGACGTGCTGTGTGACCTTGGCAATCACGTGGCCTCTCTGGGCCGCAGTGCTTTTCCAGCTGCGAGAGGGGCGATGAGAGGATGTCCAGGCCCCGTCCAGCTCTGACCTGCTTTGATTCCGTCTCCCAGACACACCGCTGTAGAAGCGTACGCCAGTTTACTGTTCTCCCCGGTGACCGGGGAACGTGTACGATCCAGACCGTCAGATGAATAAAATCGACGTGTTTCCTCCTGAGTCTATGTGTCCCGCGATGGGTCGAGGCCGTGGGCAGCTGACATTCCTTTAGCTGTGCTTTGGCCTCAGCACAGCCCCAGCCTTTCTGGCCTCCCGGCCTCAGGGCGCGCCATGTGTTTCATTCCAGGGCAGTGGGTAACAAAGTTTGATCCCAAAAAGACTTCCCTCCAGGATTTCCACTTGGATGAGGAGAGGACTGTGAGAGTGCCCATGATGTCAGACCCGAAGGCAGTCTTACGCTACGGCTTGGATTCTGACCTGAACTGCAAGGTTTGTAGGGGTGCGGGGAGCGGACTGACGGGTGTCGTCACTGCATGACTTTCTGCACGTTAATAGCTTCTCTGCACTTTTTTTTTTTTTTTTTAATAAAAGTGGGTAGAAACTTACCTTCTCAGGTTACTTGTAAGAATTAAGGAGGTAATGTGACATTATCTTATTGTGAAATTAGGGCCCTCCAGGTTGGGTACTCCAATGTTTTTTTTTAGTTTTTTTTTTTTTTTACCTCTTTAATTTTACACACAAGGGGCAGTGTTTTAATTTTGTGTCATACAAAAGGGAAGCTGGGTGGAGACCCCTGTGTAATTACACTTTCTTGCCCCCCCATAGTCCTCCCGGGTGACCGAGGTGTTTGGTATTATTGGTGACTACATTAGGTGGGGGATCAGCCCATGTAAGGTCTTACTCCAATGTTGGTTTTTAAAAAACCTTTTCTTTCCTTCTTTCTGTGTGTGTGTGTGTGTGTGGGGGGAGGGGTACTTTTATTTCTGGAATTCAAAGCCAAACTTTCAAAAACTGTCACAAACTCCAAATTGCTGACCTTCTAAGTCTTTCACACGTACCTGACTTCTTTTAATTCTAAGGCAGTAGTTCTTAACCTTTTTCTTTGGGAATCTGACAACGCACCTGAAATACTTGACAGAAATGCCATGAATTCGCTCGCACACATTTCTATATATAATTTCAGGGGCTACTGGGGCCCGGGAGGCGATCTGTTGCGTGGATCTTAGGGTAAAAACCTCCGGTCAAAGGACTCACATTATTGTGGTTTCTGTGTTGCTGTGCCCAACGCCCCCGTTTCTGGGCTCTCTGTGTAACAGATGGTTAGTAACTGTCGGCAGGTAAACCTTGGGAAAGACAGAGACCTAGAATTCAATCCCACCTCCTTAGAACCACACGAGAAAGTTCTTTCTGCAGATAATCAGTTGGTATTGGGCCAAGGTAAGAAAAGACGTCAACTTGCCAAAACCAGTTTGGCTCAGTGGATAGAGCGTCGGCCTGTGGACTGAAAGGTCCCAGGTTCGATTCCGGTCAAGGGCATGTATACATTGGTTGGGGGCACATCCCCAGTAGGGGGTGTGCAGGAGGCAGTTGATCAATGATTCTCTCATTGATGTTTCTAACTCTCTATCCTTTTCTCTTCCTCTCTGTAAAAAAAACAATAAAAAAGGATATTTTTTTTAAAAAGACAAACTTTTTGAAGAAACATTAGTAAACATCTTGCTGCATGAATGCAATAGCCTTGTGGGACAATTGTGAAATAGATTAGGGACTGGGGAAAGCAGGGCCAGAGCCCACCGTGTGTGTTGTGTGTGTGTGTGTGTGTGTGTGTGTGTGTGTCTGTGTATCCCTAGCTTCCTAAGCTCCAAAGGACTAACTCATGCGGTCTCTTTCCTGTTGTTTCAGATTGCCCAGTTGCCCTTGACTGGAAGCATGAGTATCATCTTCTTCCTGCCCCTGAGAGCGACCCAGAACTTGACCATGATAGAAGAGAGCCTCACCTCTGAGTTCGTTCATGACATAGACCGAGAATTGAAGACCGTTCAAGCAGTCCTGGCCGTACCCAAGCTGAAGCTGAGTTACGAAGGCGAAGTCACTAAGTCACTGCAGGACATGAGTATGTCTGCAAGGCTCCTTTGCCTTGGGGGTGGGGTGGGGGTTGAGCCTGTGAGCCTTCTGCCTCGCTAAACAGAACTCGCCTTTGTCGGGAGACCCTGGGATGATTCCTTAATCCTCATACCTGGTGCCGGAGAAGACTGAACCGCCGTCCTTATCAGACTCATTCCTTAGTGCCATGACCATACACCCTGTAACAGGCACTCAGAACCCTGCCTCTGAAGACAGATCTGTAAGATGTGGTTTCTAAGCTTAACCTCAATTGCTGTGTGCTTTTGGGCCAATCACTCAGCCTTTCACCGGAGCCCTATCTGTCTCACAAAGGGTCAAAGAGCGGTTCCACTCCCAGCTCGCTTCCCTCTTTGAGTCAGGATTTAGGAATCAGGGCTGTGTTCTTCCTTGGGGTGTTGGCTAAGGCAGGGTTTTAATGGAAATCTCTCCCCCTCTCTGCAGAGCTGCAATCCCTATTCGATTCACCGGACTTCAGCAAGATCACGGGCAAATCTATCAAACTCACTCAAGTGGAACACCGGGCCGGCTTCGAGTGGAATGAGGACGGGGCAGGCACCGCCCCCGGCCCAGAGCTCCAGCCCGCGCGCCTCACCTTCCCCCTGGACTATCACCTCAACCAGCCCTTCATCTTCGTGCTGAGGGACACGGACACGGGGGCCCTCCTCTTCATAGGCAAAATTCTGGACCCCAGGGGCACTTAATGCTCCGGTTTAATGTTCAAATACCCAAAAGGAAAAACAGCAACCCTAGAGGGATGGCAGGTTATGCATGGCATGAAGGCTGCCCCTAAGTTTCAATGTATACTTTGCAATAAAAGTGCTTTATCCTTAACTTCTGTTACCCTTTCCTCTTCCTTTTTTGAGCTGTATTGCTTTATATGAAGATAAATAGCCCTTTAGGAATTTATTGGTCCTGCACTTCTAGCCTGGCTCTATCTAAGCTCTGCAGAAAGTTGCCATTTATAAGAACTTGTAGTTATCTGCGCTGTATAAGGCAGGGACTGATTTTCTCCTCTGGGATGTTTACCTACTAGGATCACGAATGCCCCTGGAGGGCATTTCCTGGTTCCACAATCTTAAATAAACCTGACTTTCAGTTTTTATTTATTTTATTTTTTTATATTTATTTTTTCTTGATTTTTCACAGAGAGGAAGAGAGAGGGATAGAGAGTTAGAAACATCGATGAGAGAGAATCCTCGATCAGCTACCTCTTGCACACCCCCTACTGGGGATGTGCCCGCAACCAACGTACATGCCCTTGACAGGAATCGAACCTGGGACCTTTCAGTCCACAAGCCGACGCTCTATCCACTGAGCCAAACCCATTTTGGCTAAACATTCTTTTTAAGGAAGTATGCCTATTTTACAAAGTACAACAGGAACTTTTTCAGGAACATAAAACATGACAAATGTTTGAACCACTGTCCACAGAACTAAGTTTTTCTTCTTGAAAAAGTTAGCTGTACACAAATCTCACTGGCCACTGCCTTGCCAGAGTGAGTTAGCAGAAGAGAAAAGAAACAGATTCTGCCTGCTCTTCATTCAAATGTTCCGGTACGAACCGAACCGTGTTCCAAACACTGCTTCCTGAGGAGCTTCTGCCAAGCATCTCCAGGGCTATTCATTTCCTGGTGCTAAGGCTGGCAGCCCCTGGGGCATGGCCAGGGTGAGCAAGCTCGCTGAGCAGCGTGGGCCTGGCATTCCTTCCCTCTCACTCATCTGCCCCACTTGGTCACCAGCGGTGATTCAGCCTCCGGGGTTCAGACCCAGGGCGACTCCAGCCTTCTTACCGGGCGAGGTCGAGACCATTGCATACATCCAGGTAGAAGAGAGTTATCACCCCTACCTCTGTCTTTTTAAAAATTTATTTAAGATTTTTAATTAATTATTGACAGGAAAGGAAAGGAAGAGAAAGAGAAACACTGATATGAGAGAGCTAAACACTGACAGGCTGCCTCCTGCACTTCCCCTACTGGGGATCTAGCCTGCAACTGAGGTATGTGCCCTGACTGGGAATCAAACCAGAGACCTTTTTGGTGCATGAGAGACACCCAAGCAACTGAGCCGCACCAGTGAGGGCCCTCCTATTGTCTCTTAAGTTTGAGACCACAAGCGGGAATGCCCATATCCTCAGTATCTTCTGAAGTTTTCCCCCTTCTCTGTACTCACGTAGTCTGTATTTCATTTGCCAGCTTGGGGAAGTCTGGTAGAAAATATAATAAAAAGTCATCTCTTTTCAGGCTTGCTAATCAACAGAACTCAGGAGGCACACGTGATACAAAGTCATTGCTACAAGCCTGATTTTATTAGTATTTGGACAGCGAGTCTCCCCAGAATGAAAGCCAGGCAATAAGGCCTAGAAAACGGGTAGGAAACAAATTTAGAATTGCCATCCTGGGGAGAGATTTCCCGACCACAAAACAGCTCCATATTTCTTTTTCTTTTCCTAATTTACACTCCACCCGTTTTAACAAAGGACTTGAGGAAGCCAGAGACCATGCAGGAGACTGTCTCTAGAGATAAGGAGCCTCCCTGATCTCTTGCTTTGTAATTATTTTTCAATTATAATACAACGACTGAGAGTGTAAGTTCCCACCGGAGCGGTATACATCATTCATGACGACTAGAAACCATAGGAATGTCTCAGGGAAACAGACTACTATCATTTAGGGACGTGGCGCCCCGCCAAAACCCCAGGCCGACATCCAGATGCCTGCGGATCAGCTAAAATCCTTATAAAGGGCTTAGGCTCTCCAGATACTGGTTTTAAGTCTTTTATGGGAACTGGGAGTTTCTACTGAAGGGCAGTTAACAATTTCAAGAAGCATCCCTCCCACTGCAATGCTTTCCAAGTCCTCCCAGGCCTCCCGCCCGAGGCTGGCAGCAGTCAGGCAGGTCCTGCGTTCCCCGGCGCCAGCTCAGTGGCAACAGGACCTCTTTGGCTCACCCATGGCTCCTTTCCTGTGGGTCAAGGTCCCCTTGGGACCCTACACGAAAGGCCCCTCAGGTGCGGGCGGCAAGTCCAATAAACAGGACTTCATCTCTTGTAGCTGCTGGATCTCGTCATTCCACGGGCCATAGTGCACCAGAAGAACCTTTTCTGCCTTTTGTATCGTGTTCAGAGCTTCGGGTACGGCGAACCTGGACCAAAGGAGGTGAGGGGATTGAATCCACTCATTCGATCAAGCAGTGAGGGCCTACTCACATCCTGTGAGGCACATTAAGATCATTTTGCCCTCACAAATCTTACGACCTAGAAAGGCAGATAGGACAACTTTCACAAACACACTGCAGGGCAGAGTTGGAGAACAAAGTAATAATAATAATAATAAAGTATAAAGAACCTAGGATCCTGAGAAATAGGCAAATTTCAAAGCATTAATCTGATATTTACCCCACGGCTTACTCAGAATAATCAAGTCCACCCATGACTGCAACTGCCCGGCTTGCAGCTCCTTTCTCTCTCTCTGGCCACATGGACTGCCTCTGTGCCTCGGGAATCAGGCCTACCCACCACTCACAAGTTGGGTAATTCTTTTTAAAAAATATATATATTTTATTGATTTTTTTTACAGAGAGGAATAGAGTCAAAAACATCGATGAGAGAGAAACATCAATCAGTGCCTCTTGCACACCCCCTACTGGAGATGTGCCCGCAACCAAGGTACATGTCCCCAACTGGAATCGAACCTGGGACCTTTCAGTCTGCAGGCCGACGCTCTATCCACTGAACCAAACCAGTTTTGGCAAGTTGGGTAATTCTTGGCTATAGGGACTGTCCTGTGCACACACAGGATGTTTAGCAGCAACTCTGAGTCACAACAATGCAAACTGTCTCCAGACACTGCCAAATGCCTGCTGGGAAATTACTCCTGGTTGGAAACAGCTGGTTTACAAAGAATAGGACCAGGGAAGAGTCCCTGGAGTGAGGGTGTGGAGAATGAGGCCAGGGGAGGTGAGAGTAACCGGGGAGGCCTGAGAAGAACAGCTATGTCTGTCGTGGGTGGGGGACTGCATGGCAGTTCTCCTTGGAAACTCCCTCAGAGCTAAGAGCTACCCCCAGATCTCTCAGGAGAAAATTATGAAACTTAATCAGCAAAACAGAAGGACAGGATCTCTCCTAATGGGGAAATGAAGTTGCAACATGCTGAAAAGCACCCCAGAAAACAAGTGGTACCTGGGAGAGCCCAATGAGAGCTAGAATGGTATGAGGGCCGGCCAAGTGCTAGGACGTGAGAGAAAGACTTACCCATTGAAAAAGATCTGGGCCAGTTTGAAGAGCTCATGGCCCATTTCGACACTGGATGGCCCGTGGCGAGCCTCGACCCCTCGGAGGCTCTTCTGAAGGTGGGTGGCGGACTTCTGCCAGTCCTCTGCAAAGAAATGCAAATCTGGATCCAGAAGAGAACCACAATCAACCGCGGATGGACATTTTTGGGGTCAGGAAAGTTAAATGGAAGGGAGAGCAGCCTCAGTTGAAAGACTAAGAGATAACGAACCGGATGAGGCTCTAGGGTCACGGCCGAACGAACCAGGCCGACGTGTTCCCTGGAGCAGAGAATAGAGACACATGCCGTACCTAACTCAGCATAGGCCTGGGCCAGCACATCCTGGATTTCTCCCACCAGGCTGTGTTCTGCGGACAGGAAGCTCTCAGCATCATGCTGGCACCCCAACAGCAGCTGAATGGCTCGCTCTGTCAACTCAAAGGAAAGGGACCTCATTACAGACACCAACCCAGCCCTCGACATGCGAACCCAGCTCTTACATGTTCTATCAGCTGGGCTAAATGTGGAAACACCACCTTGTCTCTTTGTGACCGACCCACAATGTTTGTTCCAATAAAGCTGCTGTTCTCTCTTTTTTTTAAAAAAATACATTTTTATTGATTCAGAGAGGAAGAGAAGAGAGATACAAATTGAGCCCACAACCCTGGCATGTGCCCTGACAGGGAACCGAGAATCGAACTGTGACCTCCTGGTTCATAGGTCAATGCTCAACCACTGAGCCGTGCCGGCCGGGCAAGCTGTTAGTTCTCTTAGGTTTTCTCTTTCAGCAGAAAAAGGTTTGGGGTGAGGCCTCCCCACATTTACTCTGGGTTTCCAACTTCAGTTTGAAGTGGAATAACACATTCCACGTATGGTCATTGCTTCTCTTGACTCAGAAATCTAAGTTGAAGGTCAACTTTCATAAACTAGGGTCGATAAATTCCCAGGACGTGGAGCTCTAAGGCAGAGTTTTCGAGGGTAATGAGGAGTTCCACAACTCCCTCTCTGGAAAAAGCAGGACACATATACCCACCGGGCACGGGCCCCACTGGCCTTAGAACAGAGACGAGGCTCTGGCGAGGGCAGGACAATTTAACCGGGAAACTAGGTCATTAGGGCCTGGAATTAAAATGACATGAACCTCTGGAATACGCGTAAAGATCATGGGTGTCAGGGCTAACCCTTCAGTTGTCATGGATACCGGAACTTAGCCTTCTGATGCGTAAGAGAACTGCAGCTTACGTCCTCTGGCCCTTTTTCCAGGACTACACAAACAGAAGAGGTTAGGTGTTGGTCTCCTTGGCCTACACAGCCACCTTGTGGCTGAGATGGGGATAATTAAGTGCAATTTTTCAGTCATTACTGAGTATCCTTGAGTCATCTCGGAATGAAGAAAAAGGAAGGGACCCCGCCTCACCTCGTTTGCCATTCCGGAGAAGCTTCTGGGCTTTCCCAACCTGCTGCTGAAGGTCCTGGACCCGAGACACTAGGTGGTCCCGGCTGGCCGATTCCGTACAGGAGGCGCTGCCACAGCTCAGCACATCTCCTCCCTGTGGGAGTCAGCGGTGTCTTTATTCCTGCACCAGAGCTGGTTAGCAAGACTGCATGTGCTTACATTATAAGATCACGCCATGGCATCTGACTGTTGGGGGAGAGAACTCCTGCAATAATACACCGTGACCGCAACCCGAGTGAATTTCCTGGATAGCAGCAATTCTAATGCAAGTGGTGACCAATCCCTGCAACGCGCCCTCTCCCCACCAAGATAGAATTTTTACACCAAAATTAAGCTGGCGCAGTCCACAATTTCTTTCCATCTCTCATGTCTCTTTGGGGCCAGCACTTTGGATGGTAGACACATCTAGTTATAAAAAGGCCTTAGGACAACCAATAGGAAAAGGTGCTAGGTGAGGCCTCCCGACATTTGACCTTGGGTTTGTAACTTCAGCTTTCAACACAAGCCACTTTCACGTCTACATTCCACTGCCCGTTCCCCTAACAATGCCCAATTCTCTGGCGGAGGAGAAAATCTCGGAGGTGAACACTTGATATTTGTTTTAGATGCCAGTATAGATGCCCACATTTGGCAACAGCAACCTGACCTCTCCCGGGGACCTGCTCCCACCCTCCCACAGGCAGTGCCCAGTAGCTGAGGCTGTGCGTGGAGCTCTGGCTGGCCCTTGCTCTGGCCCAAAGGACTGGGGGGAAATCATTTGACTCTGATTTTCCTCCAACCACAGGAATCGGGTCAATGAAACTCAAAGAGATTCTTGCCCAGACCTCTGTTAGACCAGTGCATCTGGTTCTTCTTGCCTCCAGCAGAGGGAAGTCTGTCTGAGGATGGGCGAACAGAGAGAATGGAGCTGAGGGAGGCACAGAGAAAAAGTGGGTCTTGGTGACATGACTAAGCCCCTGGATCCAGATGTACCTGATGTGCCTCTACCCCCGGACTTTTTAGTGATTTACTTGAGCAAATTCAATTCCCAGTGTCACCTCCCGCCCCTTAGGCCAGATTAGGTGGGATTCTCTGTTATTTGCTCTTGCAAATCTTTTCCTTGTAAGATGACTACACCTCACCTTCCACTGTGGTTCCTGGGGGTGGGTATGGGTGGGTGATCGGTGTGTGGCACATGTGTCAAACACAAGGCCCTCGGGCCAAATCTGTCCCACCAGGCCTTGCAACGTGGCCCGCACCGCGCTGTCATCACTGCACTCCGCTGCGTTTCCATCACAATGACAGTTTATGACTGTTCAGTAAACCATTCGGCCCGCGATTTAGGCTGGATTTTAGATTTTGGCCCCTTCTCTGATTGAGTTCGACACCCCTAAGGAGGGTGTGCTGAAAGGGAAGAGAGTATTGCTTTGGGCACCTGTAAGCCCCAACGGCTTCCTCGGAAAGGTTTCCTGCCTTGGGGCTGGATAACGGACCTCTGGGAGAAGTCGAGAAGAGGGACAGACCCACCTGCATGAGCTCTCCGCAGCGGGGACAGCGGAATGCTTCCCACCTGGGCCCCGCGGCTCTGCGCGTCCCCTCCTGACAAGCCGAGCAGCTGCAGTCAAAGAAATACTGTGCCTTCAGCTTCTGCTGCCTCTCAGCGACACCCATCCTGCTCTCGTGAGGCCCTGCAGGGGGATCACACACGGGGCCAATATTTAAAGCGAGAGAGAGAGGCACTGTTTATTATTATTATTGTTACTATTATTATTTTTTGAGAGAAGCACCACTTTAAAAACTTTGGCTTAGCAGAGGGTTTGGTCAATTATTCATCATGTGACAGGTCCCATGATGTTACTCAAACATGTGTGGGACTAGATATAGAAATAAGCCTCCAACCTGTGGGGACGGGGAAAAAGCCAGAAAGTTGTTTCCAGCCCATTTTCAGAACAGAGAGTTAACGGGGATGAAGCAGCGGCGGACACAGCGGTGCCGGGGGAAGGCCCGCCTTGCCGAAGGACGCACTGTGTCTGCCAGGAAACCGTCACCAGCCAGGGGGAGGCGCCTGCCCGGTGGCTGGCTCCCCTTTCCTGCGGGACGAGGGGCCGGAGCGAGGAGGGCTGCTCACCGTAGCAGTGGAGGACCTCCTGCCCTTTCCCGATCCGCCGCGAGGCCCGGGCGCTGGCCGCCGTGCCCACGAAGGACACGCTGGTGTTGGGGCTGCAGGAATGGTTCAGGAGGCTGACCACGGGGAAGATGCCGGTGGCCAGGCGGACCTGCCTGCTGTCGGTAACGATGCTCTCTTTGGATCCTGAGGGTGCGAGAGGAAAAAGGAAAAATGTGTCAGGACATTAGTCCTGGCCTCGCCATCCGCTTCTCAGAACATGAGCTGGGCAATTGGGCCTGACGCCCGTCTGAGTCACAGCTCCACAGCCGGATCCAATATCAATCGGATGGAACATGACTCACTCCCGGCGAACTCTGGTCCCCAGGAAGCGACGCAAATGAACACATGAAAAGTCCACCGGAATCCTGGGATATAATCATCGTGTCTCAGTACCGCAAAAGGCCCAAAGATTAGAGTTTATAAAAAAAACAATAAAAAAGGCATTATCAGTAGGGAGCTGTCTCGGTGGACACCTGCATGACGTTCATGAGGACACAGAAACTAGAGCACCTGCTGAGTTTAATTCCCAAAGATTTTTATAGTCCAGTGCTTTTGTTGAACTGGTCTTTGGCTTGCTAAGTCTAACTGGTTAATAGCACAAGTAACCTAATTACTATCTGAAACTAAACAGGCTTATAATCTATTTTTAAAAAGCCATAGTTGCCCTAGCTGGTTTGGCTCAATGGATAGAGCCTCGGCCTGAGAACTGAAAGGTCCCAGGTTCCATTCCGGTCAGGGACGCATGCCGGGGTTGTGGGTTCGATCCCCAGTGGGGGACTTGCAGGAGGCAGCTGATCCATGATTCTCTCTCATCATGGATGTTTCTATTTCTCTCTTCTTTTTCCTTCCTCTCTGAAATCAATAAAAAGCCATAGTTCTGATGCCCTCCTGTTCATTCTGCCTTATGTCCCAACTTTATGGGACATTAGTCAGCAGATCTCACTGAAAAAATATTCTGGACTAAGTCTATTCAAGATAGCCTCATGTCCCAAACCATGTATTTTTTTTAAATATATATTTTATTGATTTTTTACAGAGAGGAAAGGAGAGGGATAGAGAGCTAGAAACATAGATGAGAGAGAAACATCGATCAGCTGCCTCTTGCACCCCCTACTGGGGATGTGCCCGCAACCAAGGTACATGCCCTTGACCGGAATCGAACCCGGGACCTTTCAGTCCGCAGGCCAACGCTCTATCCACTGAGCCAAACCGGTTTTGGCCAAACCATGTATTTAAAATATATATATATTTTTATTGATTTTTTTACAGAGAGGAAGAGAGAGGGCTATAGAGTTAGAAACATCGATGAGAGAGAATCATTGATCAGCTGCCTCTTGCACCCCCCCTACTGGGGATGTGCTTGCAACCAAGGTACATGCCCTTGACTGGAATCGAACCTGGGACCCTTCAGTCCACAGGCCGATGCTCTATCCACCAAGCCAAACCTGTTTTGGCTATTTTTTTCCTTAACAATGTCTTCTTTGAAACAGTTAACCAGCCATTTAACTAGCTGGCTGAAGATTAGGAAGGGAGGAAGAAAAGGGCCTGAGCAGGGGGCTGTTTCTGTGCCGAAGCCCACGCACTTCTCTTCCTCTGCAAGTCTTTGCTCTCTGGAGCAGCCCTACCTGCTCTTATTTTAGCCACAGTCCAACGGGCTTAGTTATTCAGTTTCTCAGCCCACAACAGCCCAGAAACAGAGAACTGATAAGAGGCAGGCTTTGACAAGGACCAAAGAGACAGGTGACAGACTGGAGGAGGAGGCAGGAAACTTATACAAGAATAACAGCCGCAGGGCAAACAGAAACAGCGCACCACTGGAGTTTTACTGTAACTGCAGCGAGCGCTTACCTGAGGCTGTGACAGCGCACCTGCGTGGGCTTCTGTAACAGCACAGATATCTCAGGAACAGGCACCGCATACAGGGAAGCCGGAGCAACCAGGCAAGGCCTTAAATTGTGCTCGGTGGCCTTGGTGTAAGTACGAGGAAATCATATTTCCGACAAAACTGGTTGTCATAGGAAAGATATTGGTACTTAAAGGAAAACTTTCAGTTTTTTTTGAAAACTGAAAAGTCGTTAGATAATTGTGGCATCACGGTGCATGCCAGGAATCTCAATATACCTATTTCCAAAGTCTAGGTACACATGTAATGAGAAGAGAAAATATCATGAACCATCACGTGAAAGTGTTCTGGAAAGGAACACAGGGAGGAGAGGGACAAGGCCTCTCTGCAGGCCACCCCATTATCTGTTGCTATGGAGGACAAAAAATAGGACAAATAAAATTCACAGAGAATCCAAATGATTCCATTTCAGTAAACAATTTTACCAACTGCATTGAAATCTTTCATGAGCTTCTCCTAAGTGCTTAATGAACTCTGGTTTCCCCTCCTCCCCCAACGCCTCCCTCCGGGTGTACTGGGTGTACGTACGTGCTAATGAGCAGTGAAAATGCTAAAAGGTAGGCAGCAGGAAGGAGCAGTGCAGGGCATGAGCAGTTTGCGGTCTGAATAATCAGCCTCTGCATAATTAAAAGTTGACTTGCACTCCCAACTACTGATGACTGGCAATCTATATTAGAACAGCTGCAAAGACTTTCCCAGAAAACATGATCACAACACAATGAGTAATGTCAGCTTCATGAATTATTTATAGGTTATCTTCTAACAGGAGTAGGCCCAGGAATTGGGTGGGGTGAATATTTATGTCAGGGTTGAGTCTCTCTAATTATTTCTAAAAAAATTAAGTATTGATTTAAAAAAATGAGTCAATATTTTGCATTAGTCATCTCTCAGTAGATAATAGAAAGTGAGAATATGTATGTACCTTATCAACCAAATAGAATATGTGATATTTTGTGCATAAAAGAAAAAAGGAGAGCGAATGATTTTTTTATTTTACCAAAGTATACCTTGCTAATATTCCTACATTTATTTTTATTATTATTTTTTTAAAAATAGGGCATTTAGTCTGGCTGGTGTAGCTCTGTGGGAAGCGTTGAGCCAGTAACCAAGAGGCCACTGGATTGATTCCCGTTCAGGGCCCATGCCCAGGTAGCAACTCAATTCCCTGTGGGGGGCCTGCAGAAGGCAGCCGATAGATGGTATTTCTCTCTCATCGATGTTTCCATCTCTCTCTCCCTCTCCCTTTCTAGAACCAATAAACATACACATCCTATATAATAAAGGGCTAATATGCAAACAGACCGAACTTCAGAACAACTAGAACAACTGGTCACTGAGTGCACTGGCCATCAGGGGGCGTGTGAAGAACATGGCAGATGTTGGCCAAGGTGGGATGGTGGAGCAGGTGAGCAGGGCACCAGACCAAGGCAGGGCGGTGCTGGTCGCTGTCATCGGGGCTTCTGGTGATTACTGAAAATTCTTTGGAAACATTGATCAAACCATCAAACCTCAGAGGGAAGGTAGGCGAGGGTGGGGGTAAGGGGGAGAGATCAACCAAAGGACTTGTATGCAAGCATATAAGCCTAACCAGTGGACACAGACAACAGAGAGGCGAGGACATGAGTGGGGGGGATAAAGGGTAATAGGGGAATAAGGACACATATGTAACACCTTAATCAATAAAGAAATTAAAAAAGAAAGAAAATTCTTTGCTCCCATGAGCCATGGTCCTGCCTGGCGCTCGCACCTGCTGCTGGCCCCACTCGCACCACAGCTGGCGCTGGAGCTGCTGCTCGCACTTGCTGCTGGTGCCCAATGCCAGTCCCAATCACTCAGCTCCATCAGTGGGTGTAAGTGGCGGCTGCCGGCCCTGATTGCCCCTGAGGGCTTCTCCACCCCCCTCTGCTCCTGAGGGGCGATCGGGCAGCAGCCACCACTCGCACCTGCTGACAGTGCTGGCCCTGCTCGCACTCGCTGCTGGTGTTGGCTCTAATCACTCCGTGTTGTCAGCACGTGGGAGTGGCGGTGGCAGTGAGAGCGCGGAAGCGGGGCTGTGGCAGACAGGGGATTGGGGCCCCAGTGGGAGAGGCCATGGCAGAGGCACGGAGGATGGGCCGAGACCCACCCCTGTGCCTACCACAGCCTCGAGGCCCACAGTTCCTTTCAAGGTGCAAGAATTCATGCACTGGGCCCCTAGTGTATATATATAAAAAAGAAGAAATCAAGGATCCCAACTGAAAATAGATTTCTTGGTTGTTGAAGGGTGGAAACAAAGTGCAGTGAATTGACCTAAATCTATATATTATAGAACCTCATTAAGCCTTGTTATGAAGTGAATTCAGCTACATCACCAATGCACCACTCCCACTGAGGTAGAACCACACATACCAAAGTCTAGAATATCATCAATGGTCAGTTCTCACCCTTCAGTATCAAAGAGAGGTTTCTGAGAAACTTTGATTAAATAGGATTTATGCAAAGATAAAAAATACATTTTTGTAGGTTTTTGTCAAAGTCTATTCTAGCTAACACTTTAATCCTTCTTCTGTGCTAATAATGAAATTCAATGAGAACACTAAATTGGGAGGTGCTAGAACCCCAATAAAATAATAAAAAGGGATATAATAAGATTAGAAATATGAGTAGACTAAAATAAAATTTGATTGACTTCAAAAATGAAAGTGAACATTGTTGGTGGGCATATAATTGGTCCAACTTTCCTGGAGAGCAATTTGGCAATATGTATCAAGTGCCTGAAAAATGTTCATATGACGGGCAGCTCAATTAGTGGAGTGACACCCTGGGCACCAAAAGGTCATTGGTTCGATTCATGGTCACAGCACATACTTAGGTTGTGGGTTCGATCCCAGTAGGGGTGTGCAGGAAGTAGCTGATCAATGTTTTTTTTCTCTCTCTTCCTCTCCCTTCTTCTCTAAAACCAATAAAAAACATATTTAGCCGAAACCGGTTTGGCTCAATGGATAGAGCGTTGGCTTGGGAACTGAAAGGTCCCGGGTTCGATTCCGGTCAAGGGCATGTACCTTGGTTGCGGGCATATCCCCAGTAGCGGGTGTGCAAGAGGCAGCTGATCGATGACTCTCTCTCATTGATGTTTCTAACTCTCTATCTCTCTCCCCTCCTCTCTGTACAAAATCAATAAAATATATTAAAAAAATATTAAAAAAAAAAAGAGTTGGTTACTTTCTGCCATTATCATCTGGAAGCCCATATACTATTTTTTTTTATATTTAAAAATATAAAACAAAATGTAAACAATACTTTTAAAAATGCTAGTGAATGTACCCAAGGGAAAATATAATCCTGGGAAAATATTCAAAAGATGTATTTTAGAAGGTAGCAATGGCTCAAAGACGCAAAAGGCGGCAGAGAAGAAAATGGAGTCTAGCTTGCAATGTGATTTTGTAGTAACATGGGATGAAGCCAGTACTATTACTGGATGTCCTACATGTGCTACAGGACGGGAAGAGAGTCTTATCCCAAAACCCCTCTAGGGAAACACCTATATACCACATAACTTGGCAGCTGAACTAACATTAAAGCTAAGACTTTATAAACGAAAGGTTGACAAATTCCATATTACCTAATATGAGATCAAAGAGCTAAGCCACATTTAACACTAATCTGTCTGCAAAATTCAGAAAAAATGTAATGAACTGATTAAATCGAAAGACATTATCTGCTAACATGGAGATCAAAGGATGGAAGCACAGGAAACAGCATTTCTTTTGTAATAATAGGTCTGTTGTCAGTACACTCATATTAGAGACGCCAGGTATGGTGCTGGGCACACCCCACCTCCCCATCCACCTTGAACGGGCTGTTCGTTAAAGCGGGCTGGGCTGGGCTGGGCCGGGTCTAGAAGAGACCCTAGGTTCTGGGCCGCCTGACCGGTGGACAGCCCACCACAGGCTGGCCAGCAGCTGGGTTAGCATCGTGTGGAAAGCTGTGCTCGGCCGATTCCTCTCTTGGCGATTTAAAACAAGAGAAAGAAAATGTGTCCATTGGAAAGCGAAGAGACAGAGTGTCCGGGTCACATGAGTGAGCTAAGAGATTCTGATACTTAAACAAACATGTCATCTTCACAACTCTTAAAAGTTATGTGGGATTAAATTCCCTCCCCACCCCCCTTTTTTAAAGACGAGAAAACAGAGGCAGAATGGGCTCAAATCATTTGTTAAGGTCACATAGCTTCTCAATGGCATAGTCATGATCATACAAGACCACTGTGTTTTCCCATGAAACGACCTGAGTTTTTATAGTGCTTTCTCCCCAAACAGCTACATCAAGGACAATACTGTGCCTGGCCAGGGGGGCTCAGTTGGTTGGACGCACTGACCCATGCACCCAAAGGCTGCTAAGTTGATTCCTGGTCAGGGCACATATCTGGGTTTCAGGTTCGATCCCTCGTTGGGGTGCATGTGGAAGGCAACTGATCGACCGCCACCTCTCCACCCCTCCACCCCCCTGCTCCTGCTCGGCTTCCCTTCTCCTTGCACAGTGGTCAGCAAGCTTATTAGTCAACAGAGCCACATATCAACAGTACAACAACTAAAATTTCTCTTGAGAGCCAAAAACAGACTTCTGCGCATGGGCCACCAAGTTTCAATCGCACTGTACGTGTGCGCCTGCACGTGGTATTTTGTGGAAGAGCCACCACACTAAAGGGGCCAAAGAGCCACATGTGGCTTGCGAGCCGCAGTTTGCCGACCACTCTCCTAGCATGTCCTTGGGTGAGGATTGGAGGGGGAAAAAAGAAAAAAAAAAGAATACAGTGAGCAGAAAAGCTTCCCTTACCTGTCTGCTGTAGGGTAGTTATTGCCTGGGCATTACACTGTAGCTGTAACATGTGTCTCAGCATGGCAACTCCCCAACTAAACAGCTCTTGACTCGTCGCAGGAACCACGACAGCTTCGGGCTGAGAGGATTTCAGACTTGTTGTGCGGGTCTGCAAAGTGGCTGCTTCCAGCTGCCTGCACAGGGCAGCAACGCTGAGAGCGCAGAGGAATTTGTGCTCTGGGCCATGATTTTGAGTGTGGGGCAAAAGGTGCAAGACAGCATTATAATTGCTTTCATACTTCCCGTTACTATCACATCCGGGAATTGGGGGCTCAACTGTCTCGCCATTTTTCTCCCTCTCCCCTCCCAGGTCGTGACCGAGGGTTCGCACCAGATTCTTGCTTTCAGGTGAACGAATGTCCCAGTTACTGATCTCATCACAAAGCGTCCTTGTGACTTTGCCAACATCCTCACGTCTAGCTAAGAGGGTTGCCCTCAGGGCAACGTGGCAAAAGACCCCCAGTGTGAGAAGCAGCCCGCCTAGAGGACACTCTACCCTATGGTAGAGACCCCAGGCCTGCTGCATACACTCTTGGCTGCAGTACTTGGCATAGCTGCATCCGTCACAGGGAACCGGGGCCAGAGTGTGCTTCAAACACCGGTGACAGTACAGGTCCCCATTGGTGACTCTGGTATCCCACTTGCTCTCCAGGCTGGCACGGAGCGGTGGCATTTCTCCTGGGTTGAGGACACTCACGAAAGCATCCTCTTTCACCAGGAGCTCTCCGGGGAGAATATCCCTTGTGGCGATCAGACTGCGGCCTTTTGAAGGGTCTGTGCATAAAGTGATAGATGAGGATGCACAGGAAATCCGTTCATTCTCTTCCCTTAGGTTCATATCCTCAAAGTCGGTGGTTAGAGCTGCTGGCAAGGTTCCCGTGGGGGTCTCCTTTTCCTGTACCTTCGATTTTAGACGACAGAGGGTACTCTGCAGAATTTGGAACTGGGAAGCTGCTAGGGTTTGTCGGTCAGTGAAATTACTTTCCAGATCACGGATGATCTGGCTTGCCTCCTGTAGTCTCCCCAGAGTCACCAGACACTCTGCCTTACGTAACATCATCTTGAGTTGCAATCTTTCTGGAGACCCATGCATCTGTGCTCTGCTGATGTCTTTAAGACATGCCTGAAAACAGAAAGGAAATCCCAAAATGATCCTTGGTTCCTAGTCTTCAATATCTACTGAAAGTCTTAACAAAAATCTAAAGGAAAATGGAAGATTATTAAAAAGGAAGCAAATGCAAGCATGTGCTTATTTCTTTAAATCATATTCTCCCATGTGATCTTTTGAGTGATAAGGAATCCATGCTAAAGAGACTCTACTGAACCACCTTATTAAATATTTCTATTTTTTCAAGGAAAATAGTCTTACAGATAGAAGAAGTATAGTATGATGATCAGGAGGGCAGGGCCTGCATTCCAGTACGAACTCTGCCTTTTACTAACTGTATGACCTGTGCAAGTGACTTAATTTCTCAGTGTCTTAGTTTTCTCATCTGAAAAATAGGGAAAATAATCTCTCTCTCTTATAGGGCTGAAATAAGAATAAAAATAAGGTAATCCATCTAAAGTATTGAAACAAGTGCGTGGAACAATGTATGTGCTCAATATATGGTAATCATTGCTATAAGAAGGGAAATAGAAACAACCAATACAGGGAGGTTAAAAAGGGTTAAATGTTTCACAAGTTCCTCCAATCACTGTCTTCTGTAGTCCAGGACTTCCTTGTTTACCACCCAGTCTTGTTCTTCTTTTTTAGTCAATAGGGCAATAAGTGTCAACTTGTAATTACTAAAATCATTTTTATTCTAGTGCATCATTTAAATTTCCGTGTAATTCTGAAATGGATGTACCAAACTGGCAATTTAGAGCTTATCCTTGGACCTCAAGTATGGAATGAGAAGAAACCCCCCCACCCAAAGCCCACCCCTCACTGATATACACAGGCAATTTGGTGCCACTTTTATTTTTCCACTCAAAATGCATATTAAAAGTGAGCTATGACTCAGACAACTTAATAAAGGGAAGTTAAACAACCCAATAAAAAAATGGGCAACTGACCTAAATAAATACTTTTTGAAAGAAGACAGAAGGAAGACCAAGAGACATATGAAAACCTTCTTAAAGTCACTAATCATCACCACCAAACCAGTATTATATGAAATGCTAAAAAGTATTAAGAAGAAGAAAAAGGTAAAGATAAAAATTATGAACAACAAATCGTTGTTGTATCTATCAACAAGTGAATAAAAAATCTGATGAACAGTGTTAACTGGTGAATATAATAGAATCAGGGGCATAGAAAGGGAGTGGACTGACAATTCTTGGGGGAAAAGGGGTGGGGGGGTGCAGGAAGAGATGGACAAAAAGCATATACCTATGGATGAGGACAGATGGGGGGAGATAAGGGCAGAGGATGGGGTAGGAACCTGGTGGAGGGGGGATATGGGGGAAAAAAGAGGAACAATTGTAATAATCTGAATAATAGAGATTTATTTTAAACAAACAAACAAAACAAAACAAAACAAAACAAAACAAAAAAACACAAACAAATAGATCCAGAGGCAGAGAAACATCCTTCAGAAGCTCAAACCTCAGGGAAGGTAGGGGAGGGTGGAGGTAAGGGACAGAGACCAACCAAAGGACTTACATGCATGCATATAAGCCTAATCAATGGACACAGACAACAGGGGGGTAAGGGCATGAATGGGGGGAGTTAGGGGTAATGGGAGAATAAGGACACATATGCAATACCACAATCAATAAAACATTTTTTTTTTAAAGTGAGCTATGTTATTGCAGGAATCATCTTGAACATGCTCTACTTTTTGATTTATTTTATTTTAATTTTATTTTTTTAATATATTTTATTGATTTTTTATAGAGAGGAAGGGAGAGAGATAGAGAGCTAGAAATGTCGATGAGAGAAGAACATCGACCAGCTGCCTCTTGCACACCCCCTACCGGGGATGTGCCCGCAACCAACGTACATGCCCCTGACCGGAATCGAAACTGGGACCCTTCAGTCCGCAGACCGACGCTCTACCACTGAGCTAAACCGGTTTCGGCTATTTATTTTATTTTTTAAACAACACACAATAGTTTGCAAACCTTGGAACCTGAAGTATTATTAGCAACTTATCTCACAGCTGATCTCAACACTGAGATCTGCTGACCCACTGGATCTAGTCCAATACCCTGTGGAATGTGGCATGATCTCTTATCAACCACCACTCTCCCACATAGTCAAGTCTGACTGGTGAAATGAGTCAGGAGAAAGAACAAGTTTGGGAGGAGATCAATTTGCTTCCAATTCAATTAATTGCAGCATGGCTCAATTTGATTTTTATTTATTTTTAAATAGAATTTTATTGTTTTCAGAGAGAAAAGGAGAAAGAGAGAGAGATAGAAACATCCATGATGAGAATCATTGATTGGCTACCTCTTGCATGCTCCCTACTGGGGATCAAGGCTGCAACCAGGGCATATGTCCTGACCGGGAATTGAACCGTGGCCTCTTGGTTCATAGGTCCATGCTTAACCACTGAGCCACGCTGGCCAGGCTCAATTTTAGCGTTCTAAGGTAGAAGCAGAGACAAACCTCCTCCAGATCCTCTCCAATCACCCCGGCATCCTAATACTCACTTCATACTGGCCCAGGCGGAAGAGGGCTGCAGAGCGATTGGCATAACACAATGAAATGTCCTCAGTGTTTGGCCTTGAATGCGATACTCCCTGCAAACCAATGAACCAGTTAAAGGAATAGATGAGGAATAGCATCTTTAAACTGTTTTGTTTTCAGATAATAGGGGCTCTACTACTAAACACTGGATGCAGTTAGGAAATTTTACTGGATTTCTATGTGCTTCACCTGCTTCAGCTTCATTCTAACTAGTTTTGAGCAAAGCTGCGAAGAGCAAGTGAAGAAATAAATACTCAAAAGCACTTTGAAGGTAACAGCATCAGACACAGCTTCTTCAGGCACAAACAATACGAAAGGTAAATGAAAAGTGAGGAGCATAATCCTGCACATAACAAAGAGTGAGTGGCACAAATAGAAATTCACAAAAGAAGCACTATGATATATGGGAAACAAATGGGAAATTCATACAGAGAGAGCCAAATACATGAAAATGAAAGCAAAGAAGGGCCATGCTTGTTCTACCACCAAGGATCCTATATAGTAAAACCCTAATAAGCAAATAGATCAAACAGCAGGACGACTGGTTGCCCCCTCCTGTGTTGAGTGTCTGCCCCCTCAGAGGGAGGTGAATTGGTGCCAGCAGCAGGGGGCAGGGCTGGCCAGTGGGTAGTGCCAGGCTGCCAGCCAAGGCAGATGCCAGCTGAGGCCCCCCGAATCGTCCCAACCGCCAGTTGCCCCACAGATGGCTCTGATCACCAGCCAGGCCTAGGGACCTTACGCTATATATTGGGAACAAACTCTTAGATTTAAAAATTAAAACCTGGCAGGGCTATTCTAATACTGAAAAAACAGGGTGATGCAGCAATGACATGCATAGACTCTGGCTTGCACATTCAGTGGTCAATCCTGATTCTGACACTTATGACTGTGTGACAAAGCCAATTACTTAATTTCTTTCTGCTTCAGTTTTCCATCCATAAGATGGGGGAAATGGTGCTACTGCCTCAGAAGGATCATGTTATGTACTACTTTTTATAATCAGGGCAAAAAGTGTAACTGCCCATACAACAGCAAGATGCCTTTCACCTGTATGAAAACTATGGTCACTGTTGCATGCAGTGTCCGGATTGTGAGAGGAATGTGTAGGCCAGATTGCGAGAGGATGCAGACCGGGCTGAGGGATTTTCCCCCCCTGACCCCCACTGTGCATGAATTTTGTGCACTGGGCCTCTAGTTAATAGTAAAAAGGGTAGCATCTCAAAGCACTGGAGAAAAGATGGGAATTATTCAGTAAAAAGTATTGGGGAGAATAGGTAGCCACTGAGGAAAAATAAAATTGGTTCTCTGCCGGGACCGGTTTGGCTCAGCGGATAGAGCGTCGGCCTGCGGACTGAAGGGTCCCGGGTTCGATTCCGGTCAAGGGCATGTACCTTGGTTGCGGGTGCATTCCCAGTAGGGGGTGTGCAAGAAGCAGCTGATCGATGATTCTCTCTCATCGATGTTTCTAACTCTCTGTCCCTCTCAATTCCTCTCTGTGTAAAATCAATAAAATATATTAAAAAAAAAAGAAAGAAAGAAATTCGTGTTTAAAAAAAAAAAAAAAATTGGTTCTCTATATATGATAAGACTTTCTATAGGATAAATTCCAAATGAATCAAAATCTTAATGCAAAAAAATGAAACTATAAGGGCACTGGAGGAAACTACAGAAATAGTCTAACGGGATGTTGCAGTGAGGAATACCTTTCTAATTATGACACAAAACCCAGAAGTCATAAAAGGTTAATAAATTTGACCACATAAAAATAACAAATTTCTTTACAGTAAAAACCAATAAAAGCAATATTAAAAGACAAACACTGAACTGAAAATATATATCTGCAACTCATATTATAGGCAAAGGGCTCATTTCTTTACTTTATGGACAGTTCCTACAGATCAATAAGATGACAAACAATAACTCAATTGGAAAATAAGTAAATTATATGGACAGTTCTAATGGGAAATATAAATGGCTCTTAAATATATAAAAAATACTCAACCTCATTCACAAATAGCAAATTAAATGCAAATTAAAACCTTACTGAGATCCCATTTTTTACCTATTAGTTTGGCAAAGAAAAATAAAATTGCTAGGACACTGAGGTGGTAAAGAAGTGGGATAGTAATGATTCTCATGTGTTGCCAGGGGGAGGGTAAATTAATCTCATGATTATAGAAGGCAATTTAACTATACGGATCCATTGACCCAGCAATTTCTCTCTTAAGAATTTATCCTACAGACATATATTTATCCTATAGATATGTGCAAAATAACATACATGCAAAATTTCGCATCACAAAATTGCTTTAAATAGCAAGATAGAATATTCATCTATAGGACATCAATTATATGTAAGAATGATCTTAAGATATTTATTAAGTGGCAAAAGGACAGTGCTAAAGACTGTATAAAAAGAGTGTGGCCCTATCCAGGTAGCTCAGTTGGTTAGAGCATTGTCCCCATATACCAAGTTTGAGGGTTTGATCCCTGGTCATGGCTCATACAAGAATCAACCAATGAATGCATAAATAAGTGGAACAACAAATCTATGTTTTTTTCTCTCTCTCTCTCCTCTAAAACAAATAATTTTTTAAAAAAAGTTATTTTATTGATTTTTTACAGAGAGGAAGAGAGAGGGACAGATAGCCAGAAACATAGGGGAGAGAGAATCATTGATCAGCTGCCTCCTGCACATCCCCACTGGGGATGTGACTGCAACCAAGGTACATGCCCCTGACCAGAATCGAACCTGGGACCCTTCAGTCCACAGGCCGCTGCTCTATCCACTGAGCCAAACCGGTTTCGGCTAAAACAAATAATTTTTAAAAAGTTTGTGTGTGTGCGCAGGAGTGGGAGATTATTTGCATTATTTATAGAGACCAAAGTGGCTCTGGAAAGATACATTCAATACTGTATCTTCTGGGCATGGGAAATGAGGTGGCTGGGGCCAGAGGAAGTAGACTACACTGTATAATCTTGCACTTTTTAAATTCCAACTACATAAACACATTTCCTATTCAAAAATGCCTTGATAAAATAATGAAACCATAATATTCCAGTGTTGCTTAGGATATAGAGGTATGAGTATTCCCATAATCTGCTAAAGGGATGTTAACCAACTCTCTCCTAGAGAACAATTCAGCATCGAGTACCAAATGCCTTAAAAAATTACACTCAACTGACCCAGCAACTGTGCTTCTGGGAACTGAATCCTAAGGAAATAAGCAGATGTGTACAAATATTTCCATGGGAAGATGCTCCTTGCAGCTTTATGATACCAAACAATCTGCCAACGTTAGATGTTAAATCAAGTGTAGTTCTCTGTAATGGAACACTAAGCCAGCCGTAAAAAATCATGTTCTAGTGGAAAATTTAATAACATGAGAAAATGGTCACAATAAATTATAGCGAGGAAAAAGCAGGTTACAAAGCAGTAAGTACAGCATTATCCCAATTTTGTAAAAAAAAAAAAGTATTTTCAGAGGAAAACGTGGCTGGATGGATACAAGCAAAAATGTTAACAATGCCTGCCATTGGCTATGGGATTTCTCTATTCTCTGTGCTTCTCTATATTTTCCAAGTAAACATATATTGCACTTGCAATCAATCAAAAGCAACAACTATTATTATAAAAAAGAAAGAAAATCACTTATTAAAAATTGCAAAGTATCATAATCACCAAAATACTAGCTTCATGAAATAAGAAGGTCCGTCTCTCTCCACATCCAGTCTTTTTTCAGTCTGATTTTACTTTTTAGTTTGTGTGTTTTTCTTTTCTTTTTTAAAAATATGTCTTTATTGATTTCAGAGAGGAAGAGAGAGGGAGTGAGAGAGAAACAGAAATGATGAGAAGGAATCATGGATCAGCTGCCTCCTGCACATCCCACACTGGAGCGCAATCCAACTGTGACCTCTTGGTTCATAGGTCATCACACTCAACCACTGAGCCACATTGGCTGGGCTTATATGCTTTTTCTGTAACAATTTCCAGGGATCACATTTATGGTGCACACATAAAGTGGAAGAGATTAGCTCTGAAGAACTAAGCCACCTATCAGTGGATCATTACATCTAATGAGTTTTAATTCTTCAGCAATCACTAACACATTATTCAGCTAAATACTTGGTTACAACATTACAAAGCAGGGCTTTTTAGCAATTATCGAAGCTGCTGCTGTAGGTCTGATAGGCCTGCTAAAGATTCACAATAATAGTACACTTTCAAATTTATACACTTTTTTTGTTTATCCTCACCAAGGATATTTTTTCCACTGATTTTTGGGAAGAGTGGAAGAGAAACATTGATGTGAGAGAAACACATTGGTTGGCTCCTGCACAAGCCCTGACCAGGACCCAGGCTAAGGAGGTGCCTGCAAAAAAGGTACATGCCCTTGACCGAAATCAAACCTGGAACCCTTTGGTATGCAGGTCGACAATCTATCCATTGAGCCAAACCGGCTAGGGCAACACTCATTCTTTTAATATACAAGATCACAGACCTGGTGCCAGGAGTGATACATCTTGCTTTAAATCTATATTTATCTTTTCTTTTTAAATATATTTTACTGCCCAGGCTGGTTTGGCTCGGTGGATAGAGCATTGGCCTATGGACTAAAGGGTCCTGGGTTCGATTCCAGTCAAGGGCATGTACCTTGGTTACAGGCACATCCAGTAGGAGGTATGCAAGAGGCAGCTGATTGATGTTTCTCTCCCATTGATGTTTCTGACTCTCTATCCCTCTCCCTTCCTCTCTGTAAAAAAATCAATAAAATAAATAAATAAATAATAATAAACTCATCACAAAAATTCTAAAAATAAATATATATTTTACTGATTTTTTAGAGAGGAAGGGAGAGGGGTAGAGTTAGAAACATAGATCAGCTGCCTCCTGCACGCTTCCTACTGGGTATGTGCCTGCAACTTAAGTACATACCCTTGACCCGGAATCAAACCTGGGACCATTGAGTCCACAGGCCAACTCTCTATTCACTGAGCCAAACCGGTTAGGGCTATATAGCATTTATCTTTTAAAAGTTATGGAGGGAAATCTTTTAGGGATCTTGTTCCAGTTCCTACCATGAAGGAGGACAACAGCAGCAAAAGGTTGATAAAAGCCAGTATTCCTCAAAATCTAGATCATTGATGGTTAGTGTAATTTTTAAATATTTGTTGATAACCTTCAAAATGGAGTTCAACTGGGCTGTGGCAATTGAGCTTATTGTCCTTTCTGACTTCATCTAAGTCACACGATGGCTAACCAAAAATCTAGCCGCTCTCTATCAAACCATTGCCTCGTTTAGACAAAAATGGCGTACAATTCCATGAAAGCTGACAGACATGAACAAGGTAGGGGAATGGTCCAATACTACCGCTCCAGGGTGTATGAAGGACTGCTGAATTCAGGACATACAATACAAACTACCCTTGGTCTCAGAATATAGCCAACAGGGGAATCCTGTCAGTCTTCTTTTTCAAATCCAATCCACAAATTATAGACAAAGCTACTCCTGGCTACACAATTGGGCATTTGAGGAAATATGCCTGGTTCAACTGCTGAAATAGCCCCATCCCATTGGGCTGGGAGTGTCTTACCTTAGTGTACAGCACTGTGGCTCCCACATAATCCTTCTCCTGAAATTTTTTGTTTCCTTCTTCTCTGTAGAAAAGGGGAGCATCGGGGTCCTTGCCCACCAGGTAACCTCTAGAAAGCTCTTTTAGAAACACCTCATCCTCTGGTCTTGATGGTGAAAGAAACAAACAAACAAACAAAACACCCCACAACATATTTCAGGGAAGGCTTTGTTATTTCAAGGAAAACTCTTAATCATTGTGTTAGGGGCAGAAATAGGATATTGGGGACTAGCTATTGTACAATGATAAGAAATATTAATCATGCTCTATTAACCAGATGGTTCTGTTCTGCTTAGAGAACGCACATTCTAACCTGGCTGAGAGTTGCATGCCTCTCCTGAGACATGGGAGCTAACATGGAATGCAGTCCATCCTCCTTTCCATAGAACTGCCTATCATGCTGAAACCGGTTTGGCCCAGTGGTAGAGCATCAGTCTGCGGACTGAAAGGTCCCAGGTTCGATTCCGGTCAAGGGCATGTACATTGGAATGTGCAAGAGGCAGCTGGCCAATGTTTCTCTCTCATTGACGTTTCCAGCTCTCTATCTCTCTCCCTTCCTCTCTGTAAAAAAATCAATAAAATATTTTTTTTTTTTAAAAGAACTGCCTATCATGATTAACAACCTCATGGCTGAAACAATCTAGTCCCGGAGGCACCCGCCCTTTACAATCCCCTGCCCTATTGCCTGTACCCATTATACCTTGTCTACTTTCCTATGCCTGTAATCCCTACTTCCCATGTAATCCTTGTCTTATATAAGCAGCTGGTTTATGGGGGGCTGCAGAGCAGATTTCTGTGGATGACCTGTTGCTCTCCCATACTGCTTATATATGATTCAACCCTGTCTCTGCTCAATTGGCTCAAGTAGTGACAGGCAGCCTGGACCCCTTGGTTGTCTGATTACAATTGCACTTGAAAATGAAGATTTGCAAATCATTGGGACACATGAGGTTCTATTATGTAATGTGAAAGGGGGTTGGGGTTGGGGATCTTGTGGTCTCAGAGACTTAGAAACTGGAATTTCTATTTAGAGGATAGAGGGCTAAATTTTTATTCTTTAAAATTTTTTTTTTGTGCCAAAACCGGTTTGGCTCAGTGGATAGAGCATCGGCCTGTGGACTGAAGGGTCCCGGGTTCAATTCCGGTCAAGGGCATGTACCTTGGTTGCGGGCACATCCCCAGTGGGGGGTGTGCAAGAGGCAGCTGATTGATGATTCTCTCTCATTGATGTTTCTAGCTCTCTATCCCTCTCCTTTCCACTCTGTAAAAAATCAAAATATATTTTTAAATATATATATATATATATATATATATATATTTATTAATTTCAGAGAGAGGAAGGGAGAAGAGGGAGGGAGAAGGAGAGAGAGACAGAAACATCAATGATGAGAGAGAATCATCAATCAGCTTCCTGTTGCATGCACCTTACCTGGTATCAAGCCCCCAACGTGGGCATGTGCCCTGACCAGGAATTGAACCATGACCTCCTGGTTCATGGGTTGATGCTCAACCACTGAGTCGTGCCAGCCAGGCAGAAATTTAATTTTTAATAAATGTAGTATTTTGAAGCCATGGGGAAAGGATGGACTGACTATTCAATAAATACTGTGAAAAAATTATCTGGAAAAATACGTCTAGTACTCTCTCATGTCATACAGAAAAATAAGTTCCAGATGGATTAGAGAACTAAAAACAAAACAAACAAAAAAAGTTAGAAAAAAATAAAGGATATTTTTATAATCTTTGAGTATAGTAAACTATCCTAACTAAGTAAGACATAACCCAGAAGCCAAAAAGAAAATGACAGACATGGATGAGTAAAAGTTAAAGCATATACACATAATTTATATATAATGCAAGACATTGAGAGTAAAATAGATAAATAATAAACTAAAAGAAAAATTTGTAGCATATATAACAAAGAATTACACAGCCAGATTTACAAATTAATAAGAGAAAGACTGATAACTCACTAGAAAGATGTGCAAAAGGCAGAACTGAACAATTCACAGTTGATCTATAGATGGGTGATAATATTGGAAATGGTGAATTACTTTACTAGTAATCAGAAAAATGAAAATTAACCAAGATTATTTTGTCCTTGTGGTTGGCAAAGTTAAAGACTGTTGCTTTTAATGTTGGTGAGGACATGGGAAAGTGATTTTCATATGCTATTTGTGGTAAACCGGTAAAGCCTCTTTGGAAGACAATTATGCAGTATTTATTTAATTATATATATATATATATATATATATATATATATATATATATATATATATATTTAATTGATTTTTCACAGAGAGGAAGAGAGAAGGATAGAGGGCTAGAAACATTGATGAGAGAGATACATCAACCAGCTGCCTCCTGCACAACCCCCACTGGGGATGTGCCCGCAACCAAGGTACATGCTCTTGACCGGAATCGAACCTGGGACCCTTCAGTCCACAGGCCGATGCTCTATCCACTGAGCCAAACCGGTTTCGGCAAATTTTAAATGCTCATAACCACTGATGCAACAATTCCTCTTCTCAGGTCCTATGTTAAGTTCTAAATGTATGTACAAAAACATATAAAAATTGTTCACTACAGCACTGTATGTAACAGTAAAAAAGAAAAAAAAAGAAAAGAAAAACAACATAGAAATAATTAATTGCCCATCAACAGGGAAAAGAATAACTAAATTTGCCATATTACACTAGCAATACCATGTAGTTGCTAAAAAGATTAAGGTGTGATGTTGGGAAAAAACCTCACAGAACAAAACACATAACATAATTTAACCGAGAATAAAAAAGATATGTGCGTATTTATCTACAAATGAATGAGAATACATAAAAAGAACTAGAAAGACACTGTGGTAGTTGCTGGCACAAAGATAAAATGACTACCTTGAGCTTGAAACATATGTTTATGTGTCTGCATACAGATGAGGTCTTCATTTATGTGTCATAGTTAGCATTAGTATGTGTCAGTCATCGAACTAAGAGCTTTATACACATCATCAAACTGTCATTCAATCAGTATTTGAGTACTTGTGTTTCTGACACTGCACTGCTCTTGTCTAAAGAAAGACAAACAAATATTGACAAGGTCCTTGCCCTTATGGAGTTTATAGTCTAGTAGTGAAGACAGATATTAATCAAATGACTACACATATATAAAAAGGAAAAGTATGCAGTGTTATAAATGTATAAAAAATAAACATGTCCTAGCTGGTTTGGCTCAGTGGATAGAACATCAGCCTGCGGACTGAAGGGTCCCGGATTCGATTCCGGTCAAGGACACATGCCTGGGTTGTGGGCTCTATCACCAGTAGGGGGCATGCAAGAGGCAGCCAATCAGTGTTTCTCTCTCTACCTCCCTCACCCTTCCTTTCTGAAATCAACAAAAATATATTTTTTAAAAAATTAAAGAGCCGAAACCAGTTTGGCTTAGTGGATAGAGCGTCGGTCTGTGGACTGAAAGGTCCCAGGTTCGATTCCGGTCAAGGGCATGTACCTTGATTGCAGGCACATCCCCAGTACGGGGTGTGCAAGAGGCAGCTGATCGATGTTTCTCTCTCATGGATGTTTCTATCCCTTTATCCCTTTTCCTTCCTCTCTGTAAAAAATCAATAAAATATATATTTTTAAAAATGAATATGACCCAGCTGGGATCTAAGGAAAGCTTTCTGAGGAAAGATTTATATGATTCTGAAGGATGAGCAGAAGTTAATTAGTTATTAGGGCACGGTGGAGTAAAGAGGAGATAGAAATAGAATTTCAGGCAGAAGAAATATAAGCGGAGGCCATGTGGTATGAATAAGCATAATGCATATCAAGAATTGAAATGGAGGGGGCAATGGTAAGATATGTACACAGATAAAAATTTAATAAAAAAAAAAGAGGATGGGGCAGGAGCAGGGGGGAGGGAGGCAATGGGGAAGATAAAGGGAGACATCTATAATACTTTCAATAATAAAGATAAACTTAAACAAACAAACAAAAGAATTGAAAGAAGGCCAATATGTCTGAAAGGGGAGTGTAATGAAAGAGGAGGCCAGAGAGATAGCAATGGTGAGATTGCAATGTCTTTACTGGCTATCTATAGTAAGAATTTTAGTCTTTATTATAAGAGCAAAAGAAACCCCGAAAGGTCTTAAGTGAGATCAATAAAACTGATTTGTGTCCTGGGTGGTGTGGCTCAGTTGGTTGAGCATTCCCCCCTCCCCCCATGCACCAAGAAGTGGTTAGAATTTTACCACTTCCTAAGTTTTGAAAGATACTTTCATTAGGTACAGAGTTCTAGATTGGCAAGTTTTATTTTGCTTTGTTTTCCTTTTAGTATTTTAAATGTGCCATTTAATTGTCTTCTGGCTTCCATAATTTTACTGGAAAAAAATATCAGCCATTTTCTTATTTTTACTTGCATATGGGTAACATCTTTTTTCTTCTTCTTCTTTGGTGTTTTTAAGATATTCTCTCTCTCTCTCTCTCTCTCTCTCTCTCTCTCTCTCTCTCTCTCTCTCTCTCTCTCTCTCTCTCTTTCTCTCTCTCTCTCTTCTTTAGAATTTTATGGCTTTCCTAACACCAATACAATGTATACACAATCTGCCTATTCATTTTCTTCGCTGTGCAGCCTGGCATTGGAATTAGTGACTGATGGCCAGCTGAGCTGCTCTTTCCACAACAGCTTTGTGGTTGTTGAGGATACGGTGTGTGCAATCTCAGCACACACAGGAAGACTGGCTACACATCAGCAGCACATCAAGTTCCTTGAAGGCGTGGACCAGAAACTTCCAAAAGCCCCTGGGCAGCATGTGCTTTGTTTTCTTGTTGCTCCCATAACCAACGTTGGGCATCAAGATCTGGCCCTTGAACTTCTGCACATCCTACTGTCAATGCCTCAATGCCTAGGCTTTCCCCAGTTCCGCCTAATTCTGACATACTGGTTTGACCGCAGACGAACTTCTTGGTCCTGTTTTTGACAATCCTGGTTTCACAAGGGTCTGAGGGCAGCCATGGTGCCACGTTGGAGCTGGCTGCCACCTAAGATTTCTTCTTCCTTCTTTAGTTTTTGGCAGTTGGAGTCTGCTGTCCCTAGGTGTGGTTTTATTTATGTGTACACTATTTGGGATTTGCTAAGCTTGTGGAATCTGTGGGTTGACGTCTTTTATTAGGTTCAGAGAATGTGTGGTGCAAAATAGGTGATCAATAAAAATTCACTGAACTTGTAGGAAACTCTTGTTTCAGTTTTTCTCTCTATATATACTGTATACGTATGTGTATTAGGCTGGGATATAAAATATTTCTTACTGAAGAGAGTAGTCAAGAGAGTTTGAAAAATACTGGAGTTAATCCTGTAAGGTCCCTTCCGAATTTGAGCACTTAGGAATTTCTGTGTACAGCTGGTAAATCTCCACTACAACCTTTGGGAAATGGCAATGTTCACAGCCTAGTGACTATATAGCAAGGCACTTCCTATTAAAACATTAACATTGATACCGAAAAAGCTAAATAGCATCCCTACCTTTTCTACAATAGTAGATTAGGAAACACTGGAAATAGCAAGAACTGCTGAATGTCCCAAAATCTAAAAATTTAAATTTAATCCTTCCATCAAAAAGACAACTTAAGGGCTAATGACACCTGGGAACATTTTCCAGATCCAAATTTCCCCGGTTAAAGCTTCCATTTACTCACTGAAGAAGCGAAGAGGAGTGAAGAAAGATATCGCTCGAAGTCTCTGCTGAACAAATTGTGTCCCGAATGGATTTTGGGAGCAAAGACCACTTCTGAAGTATGTACGATTTCCACTCATCCACAGGCAGATCCATGGTCCTTTAGATCTACAAAATGAATAAGAAAATAAGGAGTTCGGATTTCTACAAATGTGTAGTTCTAGCAAATCAAGATTTCATTCCAGCAAGCATGAAGCAAGAAAATCAATGCTTGTGATCTTTTTATTTTAGTCCTCACCCGAGGACATGCATTGAGAGAGGATGGGAGGCAGGGAGAGAGAAGGAGGGAGAGTGAGAGGAAGTAGTAAAAGGAGAGGCAGAATGAGAGGGAGAGGAAGAGGGAGAAGGAGATGGGGAGGGGGAAAGAGAGAGAAAGCTACATTGATGTAAGAGAGAAACATTGATCGACTGCCTTGGCACACCCCCTCTAATGGGGATGGAGCTCCCAACCCAGGCATGTTCCCTGACAGGGAATCAAACCAGTAACCTTTCTGTGCACAGAACTATGCTCAGCCAACTAAGCCACTCCAGCCGGGCTATTCTTGTGAAAATTTTCAATAGGTATTTATTTATATGCTGAAGAAGGCTCTATATTCTCTCACACCAGTTCACTCAACTGTCCTTTCATTTACAATAAAAATGTTTAGCCCTGGTCGGGTGGTTCAGTGGGGTGGGCTTCCTCCCCTGCATGGAAAGGCTGGTAGGATTTTTGGTCAGTGCACATGCCCAGGTTGCAGGCTCCATCCCATTAGGGGGCGCCTGTGGAAGGCAGCTAATGGGTATTTCCTCCTCATATCTATGTTTCTCTCTCCGTCTCTCTCCCTTTCTCTTCCTCTAAAAAATTCTTTAAAAAAATATTTATTAAAAGCCTACTCTGTTCCAGGCACTATGCTAGGTGACTGACAGCCACCATCCCTGTCCCCTTAGACCTCCATCTATCCCAGTTGCTCAAGCCTGAAACCTGAGGGATATCCGAGATTTTTCTTTCTATTATTATTATTATTATTATTTTTTTAAAATCTTCACCTGAGGATATTTTTTCCATTTATTTTTATTTAAAAAATATGTTTTATTGATTTTTTACAGAGAGGAAGGGAGAGGGATAGAGCGTTAGAAACATCCATCAGCTGCCTCCTGCACACTTCCTACTGGGGATGTGCCCCGCAACCAAGGTACATGCCCTTGACTGGAATCGAACCTGGAACCTTTCAGTCCGCAGACCAACGCCCTGTCCACTGTGGTCAAACCAGTTAGGGCCATCTCACTAGTTTTTGCACAGGCTACTCACTTTTCTGGGGGCATCCCTACTCTCATTTGAAGTCTACAAGGCCAATGGCCACCCATCTTTCAAGATTCAAAGTGGCACCTCCTCCGGGAAGCCTTCCCTGACTTCCCATCTGTGTGATTCCAGCACACGTGTCTCTTTCCTATCCCATGTCTACCTGGAGTTAGGCTTACTCACAGCGGAAGCTCCCTCGACAGACCGCTCGCCTCTGACGTCAGGAACCGGGTCCCATTTACATTCAGAAACTCCCTCTGTGCTAAGCTCGGGGTCCACACCCAGCATTGACTGCACTTAGCGGCAGGGCACCCGCTCTAACTCCGCTCTGGGTGACCAGCCTCTCTGCCCATTAAAGGCCGAGCCGGGCATGTCCCCACAAGCCCGCCAGCAAAGTCCCCGGAACTGGTCCCTGAAGGCCAGTGGCAGCGCCCGCGTCACCCTTTGGCGCGCCCGGCAGTTCAGCTCCCCGCCCAGCGGGCCCAACTTTCCCGGGAAGCGGCCCGGAACCTGCGCCCCGGAGGGTCACGTGGGCCGCGCGCCCTGCCTCGGCCAATGGGGTGGCCGCTCAGCTCTTAGGCCCGCCCCTGACCCGCGCGCAGGCCAGGAGGCGGAAGTGGCGTACGCGGCTCCGCGGGCCAATTGCCGTAGAGCGCGCCGGGCCCGGGAGCGCAGCCAGTGCATCGGGATCAGAAACGCGGGAGTTAGCGCGGCGCAGGCATGGGGGGACGCCTGAGCGAAGGGGCCATTGCGGTGAGGAGGCGCCTGCGAGCGGGACTGGCGGGCCCGGGGGCTGTGGGTCTTGGGGCTGTGCGTAGCGGAGGAGGGGGAGAGGAGCCGGGGGCGATGGGGAGAGAACGCGGGAGGAGTAGAGAGCGGGGACGGGGGGAGCCGCCGGGTCATTCCCTAGCATCATCGCTCTTTCTTGGAAGAGTTTTTCCTACCGTCTTTCAAACATGCTTTACGAGTTCCTGCTTAAGGATACGAAACAAAATAAGCTGCTGATTCCACCCTCTCCCACCCACGGCCACTCCCCTCCCCTTCACCCACAGCCAGACTTCTCCAGAGTGGTTTGTTTTCAGCCATTTCATTATCAGCTCCTTAACCCACTCGCATCGGTCACCCCCTGGGTCACTGGAGAAACCACTGGTTGGAAGGAACAGGGCCTCTAAGTCGCTAAACCCAACGGACACCTTTTAGTTTTCAGTGTAGTGGAGTTCTCAGGAGTGTTTGAGTCCCTGGAGTATTGCTTCCTTCTGGTGACACTCTTTTCTTTGGGCTCCTGCAGCTCATCCGGCTGGTCTTTCCCCATCCTGTTTGCATTCCTGCTTTGTAAATGCTTGTTGGCACAAGGCTGGGCTCTAAGCCCTCTTCTCCCCAAACAGTCTCCTGTTAATTGTTCACAGATTTCCTTAAGTATGAAAGACAACCTCTATAATCTCCCTGCCTACCTGGTATCTCCAGGGCATTTTAAACTCAGCGTGTCCCAAAGCAAATCCGTTATCTTCCCAAGTCAGGGCCTCTTCCCGTTCTCTATCTGGAGGAATTGCACTGATGTCTTTTAAATTATGCCAGCCAGAAATTGAGGAATCATTCTCCCCACATCACCCTGAATGTCCAGTCCATTCCCAAGGCACGTGTACTTTTCTTCCACATACATCTCTTAACTCCATCTCGTACTCTCCATCTACACGGGCACACTGGATCACTCCGTGGCTGAGCGTCAACCTGTGAAACAGGAGGGCTTGGTTAGGTTCACAGTTTTAGGGCACATGCTGGGGTTTTGGGCTCAATTTCCAGTAGGGGGTGTGCAGGAGGCGTCTGATCAGTGGTTCTCTCTCATCATGGATGTTTCTCTCTCCCTCTCCCTTCTCTGAAATTAGTAAAAAATATATTTTTTAAAAATGTATATTCTGAAAAAATGGTCTGCTGGCAAAACCCATGGCCTGTGGCCAGGCCTGAGCTACCTGCCTTTGGCGTCCAGCCTACGAGCAGATAGGAAGGCCAGTTTTGGTGAGAAAATGTCTGCCCACAGTGACTGGTTTCAGAGCTCCCAGGTCTCTAGCTTTGCTCACATGCTGCAAAATACCTTGCCATTTCAGCCATTAACCCAGATGATAACTACACCCAGAGCACATTCCTTGGAAAGCTGCAGCCAAGGTTATGCAAGTGACTGGTAATTTTCCAGAACCATTGATTTCCAAAGGTCGTTCATCTATTCATATCCTGTTTTTCAAAAGCAAAATAAGTAGAAATTTGTAATGAAATACAAATGTGGAGAGATACAAATGCAGCAGGTTTAGCATGACCTTAAAGCAACTGTAACAATATTTAATGTTATTAGACCACATTTTTTTTTTTTTTTATAGGACCACATTTTGCTTCTTGAGCTGTGGTGGATGCTATTCAATAAAAGAATGTCTAGTAATTTTTGACTAGATACTAGACATTATGACTATTACATTATTTAGTGACTGGATTGTGTATATTTCTTTAAATATTGAGTTGTCTAGCAGGCTGTTAATTTACTTGCAGATCATCTGATCCTTTTGAGACGAAATGGGTCTAGAGTAGATTTTACTCTGGACCTAGTTTAGTCCTATTTCTAAATCATGGCCTTTCTCAGGTGTCTACTGAATGCACCATGTTCATTGAGTTCTTTCCACTCTGGAACACAAATGTATGATAGCCTTTGAGGGCTCCAGTAATGATATGCATAATTACAATTCAGCCAAAGACTCAAGGGAACCCCGGTGGGTTGTTAGAGCTTCCCTGTGTAGCTCCTCCCTTCGGTATTCCTTATCCACGAAGTCCAGCTAACTCACCTCCCTGAACTCTGATCTGAACTCTGTTTATAATACTCCGTTTTAAGATCTTAGCATACTTATTTAATTCCCTAGTAGTGGGCACTATAGAGAATTAATGTGTTGTTATGCGAAGCCAATATTTTAGATGTAGTGGAGTGTATCCTTGTTGGTAAGCATGTATCTCACTTTTATGATTTTATCATTTGTCCAGAGTGATAAAAGTTAACCTAGCTTTTCGAATGACAAGCCCCCCAAAAGGCTCTTTTGACAGTGGTATGTATAGTTTATAACAAATGCTAAGCTGTAAAAATAGGTCCAGTTTTAATCATGATTTGAGCTCATATCTCACAAAAATCTGTTTTTACTCTTTTAGGCCATAATGCAGCAGGGAGAGACATCCATAAAACCCATCCTCCAAGTCATTGTAAGTAACTACATATATTTTATGTGAAGCAGTTTTTAAATTTTCATGTAACTGTAAATTACATTTGATGAAGGATATAAAGATTTGTTTACTTTAGGAAATTCTCACCATCATCACACAAAATAGGCCAGTTCATGAGAAAGGAACCAGGCTTTTAAAGGTATATATGTTAGTTTAGCCAGAGGGAGACCTTTGGAGATTCAAATCTGAGCTTTTGCCCCTCTGTTCTTTCCACAATGAAAGGATGCTGTAGTGCTACACATTATTACAAGGGCCTCCTCCTTATCTTTCTGCCCTTAGGTTTGCCTTGCTCACATCTGCCTTACAAATGGCCTCTCTGTAAAGTGAACTTGTCTGCTTAAAATTCTTCATTAGCTCTAGCCGGTTTGGCCCAGCAGAAGGGCCGCAGGTTCGATTCAGGTCAAGGGCACAATCTCGATTGAAGGCTGGATCCTCAGTCCTGGTTTGAGCACTTGCAGGAGGCAACCAATCCATGTCTCTCTCACTCTGTCTTTCCTTTTCCCTTCTACTCTCTAAAAATCAATGCAAATAATATCCTCAGGTGAGGGTTAACAAAGCAAACAAAAACATTCTTTGTTAACCCTATCATTTAAGAGGTTCTCAAGTTTTAGTGGGAATTTAAAAAATCAGTAGAAGCAGAATCATGGATTATACCTGCAGATTCTGTCTGTTAACCCTGGCGGTCTCCCTGTTACTCTCAAACTAACTGACGGTTGTATCAAGCCTTATTTGATGGTAAGGCTCTGTTTACATATTTCACTTAAAGCTGCCTCTGATTTCCTTCCAGTTGGAATTAATGACTCAGTTCTGCCCCATATTGTTACGTGCACGCTTCTCTTATGTCTCTCGGCCTCCATCCCTACCCTCATTGTAAGCTCCTTTAGAGTACGAATTTTTTTTTATTTTGTATTTTTAGCATGTTTCCTACACAGTACCTTGCATATATTAGGTACTTCGTTGTATAAATATATATACACACACACACACACACACACATATATATTTAGAGTTGGCTCTCAACAAATTGGAGTTAGGGAAGAGAACACAAGAGTATTGGCAACATTTTATTCTCATCTATGTTTGTTTCATAATATTAGTGGGAAGAGGTTGGTGGGCCAATCATCAAGGCTGCTTGTCTTTTGCTTGTATTTCAGTGTTGAGTGCATGAGCAAGCAGTTCAGTTTGTGTTGATCTAACGGCAAGCCCACTCTCCTGCCACTAAGGTTTACTTATCCCGGGGGACTGGGCAGCCAACCTGGCTAATGAACCGAGTTCTCTCTTCTAGAGCATCCGTCCCATTACCACCGGGAATAGTCCGCCCCGCTATCGACTGCTTATGAGTGATGGGTTGAACACTCTCTCTTGTAAGTATGATGTGTAAATCTCAGAATGTGTATTAAAATAATGAAAGCATACCCAGCATTACGATTGCAATAATTTGGGGCATTCTAGAAGTCTGCACTTGCTTGGCTGTGTAATTCATTCAGACAGAATTGCACCTGGCAGAGAGCGTTCTAACAATAGACTGGATCTAGTGGAAAGCTGCCACTTGGCTTAATTAATTCTCTCTAACCGGTGCGCTAGGCTTTCTTTGATTAATTTCCCTCAGGATGATATTGACATTTAGTGAATATGATGGGTTAGCTATCCTATACTTGCCTTTATGGGGCTTTATTTCTGTGTTGGAAGCTTTACCTGGGAGGAGAAGAGAGAATTTGCAGAATATATGCTTGCTATCTCCAGTCACATGTGAAGGACCTAGGAAAGATTTTTGTCATGAAACCTGAATGGTGGGGGAAAAGTGACTTGGGGAACTTTAAGAAATGCATACATTTCAGAGTAGCAGCAGCTGTTTGATGCACTGCAAATTCTGCTTTTCACTATGCAGAGTCTGTCTGACTAGTTTTAATTTCAGGAACATATTTAAGGCATTTTTCTTTGCTAGCACAGGTGTGATCAGCTTTCAGATTGCCATGGCTAAAATGTTTTTGGAGACTAAAGTAATCTCTGCTTTTCAGCTTTTATGTTGGCAACACAGTTGAACACTCTTGTTGAAGAAGAGCAATTGTCTAGCAATTGCATTTGCCAGATTAACCGATTTATTGTGAACACGCTGAAGGATGGAAGGTATGTGGTGTGTTTTTTCTGTTTTATTGTGTCGCAGAATGGGGGCTAATTTTTGAGCAGTTCATTGGATGCCAGAATTCAATTCGGAATCCAAAAGGCAGTGATAAGCTTTCAGCTAAGAATGTACAGCTATTGAATTCT